GGGGGATATACCTCTAGGTGTATTTCCAAGAGTATTTCCAAAAAGGTTCAACCAGAGAGGGCGGACCCATCCTAGATGTAGGCGGTGCCATCCCACGAGCTGGGGTGTAAGTGGAGGCAGAGTTTTCTGTCCTGACTGCCTGGTCCCAAATAGCACACAAAAGCTTACATTAATTACAAAATGCTCGGCTGTTGGCTCAGGCTTATTGTTAACTAGCTCTTATATTTAAATTAAACCATTTCTATTAATCTATGTATTGCCACATGGCCATGGCTTTACCAGTCCTCTGGCATCTTGCTTCTTGGGTAGCTGACTTGTGTCCCTCTTGACTCTGCCCCCCTTCATCCCAGTCCTCAGTTTGATTGTTCTCCCTAACCTTATCCTGCCTTGCCATAGGCCAAACAGCTTTATTATTAGCCAATGAGAGTAATACATATTCATGTCATACAGAAGGATCATCTCACAACACGGATGTTACGGAAGGCCTTGTAGACACTCATTCAACCCTGTGAATCAATTTAATAGATTTCTGGTTTTAGCAAGTGTTAATCTTGTGCTAACAATAGTAACCTTATTGGCTTTAAAATGTTTTGGCTTACTTAAGTGAGATTGTAAAACAGAGAGATAGGAAAAGGCTCTATTTGCTGTAAAGCTGCATAACCTCCAAAATAACTGATTGTTACATATGGAAAGGGGGGATATTGTTGGGAGAATTCCTGCAGGGCTGCAGGGCTGCAGCTTGTACCAGAATGTTAGCACCTGGCCTTAATCTGCCTTTTGTGATTGCTATCTTTTGTTTCTCAGTACCCTCTATGTGAACTTGTCTAAGAGTTTTCTGAAGATGCACAGCCTATGCAAATTTGGTTGAAGAAAAACCTGGAACACCATTTGGCCAAGAATTTGCATTTGGCATTGTCCCTTTTGGGAAGCTTAGATGAGAGGTGTTGGGGTATGAAGATTAACTTGTGAAAAGGTATAAATTGGAGAACAATAAAAGGGCCCTTTGCTAAGCTACAGTGGACCAGTCCGTGGAGACAGATACCCCCTGCAGCTGGGAAAGGCTAGAAGCATCCTTCAGGTGCCTCTGTCCACACCCGGTATGCAATACTGGGGTCCTGGACTGAATAAAAAGGAAAAAGTGAGCTGAGCACCAGCGTTCATCATTCTGTGTCCTGACTTCCCCATCATGATGCACTGGACCTTCAAACTGCTCTAAACTAAATCCTTCCTTAAAGTGTTTTTGTTAGGCACTTGTTCATACCAAAAAGAAAACTAGTAATTCCACCCAAAATTCCAGGTGATGGACCTGAGGTCTGAGCCCAGCTCTGAGCTACAGGTGGAGACTGCCCTCCCCATGGGCCATGGGGCCACCCTCAGAAGCCATCAGAGCACAAGCCCAGTGTTTCCAAGAGCCCCATTAGGAGATTGTTTTCTTGGGACCCTGGCTCTGCAGTCCAGCCCTTCCAGATGCTCTGGGAGGCCAGGAGCACTTGTCCCTGGCCACCAGTCAGGCCCGAAGTCAGCCCTCGCTTACAGCCCGTCCACTTTCTTTGAGCATAGTCCTGGCTCCTATTAGAAGATCTGGAAGGCAGCCCCTGAGCCCAAAGCCCCTCTTCCAGGTCCTAGCCAGGCTCCCTCCCTGGCTCTGGGTTGGAATCTGAACTTCACAGTTTCCCCACCGGCCCTGGGAAGCAGTCCAACCTCTCACTATCATCTCGAGTGAGGATCCTTTCTGTTACCATGTCTGTTCATCTGGATGGGCAGGGCCTCCCCTATGCCGGGAAGTTCTCCATACCCACACCTCACCCACCCAGAGACTGCAGGGAAGAAGACCAGAGGAGGCGCCACTCCTATCAGCCTGCAGCAGAAACCCTACCAACACCTCAGGCCAAATGAGCATCGGGGTTCCTGCTCAGCAGTCCCTAGGTCCCTTCGGACTAGAGTCAAGAGACAGAAATGAGAGGGAGACAGGGCTTGGGGGGGAGGATCAGAACACCCACTCAGCAGGGTCCCCATGCCAGAAAGCACATCAGCCCCTCCCCCACACTAAAGCCCATGGAATGCCTGAGTATGTCACATCTCCAAGGAGTTCATGCCATCACAAAGGTGAACCAGAAGCCAGCACCGTGTGACCTCACAGCCAGATCAGCCTGACCGCTGCTCTACTCCACCCAGAGCCCATCTTGGCCAGCTCACCCCAGCTCTGAGACATCCTAACCCAGCCTATAAGGATTTGCCCAGCGGCTCCTGAGATCACAAGGTAAGGTTCACTGAGAGGCCCCTGCCCGGCTGCTTCACTGAGCGGTATCTTGTTTTGTTTTGTTGTTTGGGTTTGGGTTTTTTTGTTTGTTTTATTTGAGACAGTCTCACTCTGTAATCCAGGCTGGTCTTGAGATCACAGCGATCCTCCTGTCTCAGCCTCCCAAATGCTAGGATTCCAGTCATGCACCATCACACTTGACAACTAAGCTTTGTCATGGCACCCTCTGAGAACCCAGGCATTTCATTCGAGGGCACCGAACATTTCAGCATTTCATCACCTATACCTAGTTGGGTAGCCCCTTTGACCCACTTCCTCCCTGAAAGGCCCCTGTCCCCTCATCATGACAACTCAGAGACGCTCCTGGAAGATCTCCAGGGAGATGAAAACCCACTTCAGGGCCTGGCCGCACTGACTCCTCTTACCCAACACAGACATGCCCCACCTGCTCCAGACCACCTGGCTGTGGTTTTGGGTTTGTTGTTGTTGTTGTTGTTTTTGTTTTTTATTGTATGTGCCTTGTTATCAGGAAGTAAAGTTTTCAGGACAGAATGACGTTGAGCGGCAGAACACAGAAGAGAATTAGCTAATGCATTCGGAGTCAGAACAGGCTGCTGGAACATGAACTTCAAAGGCCAGACCCATGCCCAGGCTTGTCCTGCAGGGTTGACATACACTTGTCCACTCACTCATTAGCCACTCATTCTTTCATTCACTCACATTTTCAACTGGTGCTGTGGATGCCCCACATGAAGACACAGGAGCCCCAGGCCTCAGGGAGCTGGTATTCTCATGAGTCTGACATGAATCAGAACAATTGGGGTTTGTAGAACTGTATGTCAGGATAACACAGAACAGGAGCTGGCTAAGGTTGCTCAGTTGAACTTGAAAGCCAGGTCAGTGAAGGCCCCTGAAAGATGGGGCCTTCCTTCTCTATTTTCCCCTTAGTTAGGGACCTGGGAGATGGGCATCCTGACCAAGTGGGAGAGTGGTGGGACAGTGTGAGGTGGCAGGCCCACAGTGACCCACGATGACAGCAGGAATGCTGCTCCAAGGAAGGTTAAAGAAGGAGTGACATCTTCTGACCTCCCCACTAACGAGTCCCCTCTGGATGGAGAAGGGGACAGGCCCTCAGTAGGTCTGGCTGCAACTCAAGCAATGGCAGCCTGGAGCAAACTGGGGCAGCAGGACGGAGCCAAGGTCAGACCCCGGCAGAACTGAAGGCCTGGAACAGAAGTCTTCAACAACTTGGGTATAGGACTGTCTGGAGGAAAGCCTTGTGGGTGTGCAAAGGCCAGGCAGCCATGGTCTGGGCATCCAGAGGAAGTATCTGAAGTGTTGGGTTTGTGAACACCATGAGACAGAGGGAACAGTTAACTGACATCAGGGAGTGGGGCCCAGGGCCCAGCCCACTCCGTACCCTATCAGAAAGAGCCATGCCAGCTTTGCGAGGATTGCCTCGGGAGCATCTAAACCCTCTCCCCAGGCTGGGCCATTTGGAAGATGATGTATAAATAATCGCCTGAGATCCCCAGTGAATGGGAGCAGAACTGAGGCTCACAGGAGCACTCTCCAATCCAGAGACCTTGTCAGTCACCTGCACCTGTCCAGCAGCCATCCCTACCCAGCCACCTGTCCTAGTCACCGCAGCAACCTGCCACCAACCTTGTGTGTCCTCCACTACTGTACACCTCATGGTAGCTCAGAAAAATGTCTTCCCCATAGTGACAAAGTGAACATGACCACCAGATCTGCTCACAGCCCAAGGGATAATGGGGCCGGCTTCAAGCTGCTGATCTCTTGCTCTGCATGGTTCCCACACACATTCTTGCCCTTCCCACCCCCACCACCCCTGAAACTCCTGGATTCCAACAGGAGCAGTGGAAGGACATGCAAGGAGCTCAGGGCCTGAGCCACCTTCCCTACAGCATCCCTGATCCGTCATCCAGGCCCTTAACTCCAGGAACCCCTGGGCACAGGCAACCCAAACAGACTCCACTGCAGAGACCAGTGAATATCCAGGCTGACCGCCTGGGTCCAGCACGCAGACCCCAGGCCAGGAGCAGAACAGCTCCAGGACTAGTTTGCCCCTGCCGTGTCAGAGAATGAGAGAATGGAACACGAGAGAAACTGACTTTGAGAAGCCGTGGCCATCATGACCAGTTGGTCAGGTCCCCCTTCTACACAGGGGTTCCCTAGGCACTCAGAGACCCCCTGCCCCTATCATAAGAACCCCAAGACCAGGGCACTCAGGGCACAGTTTGCAGCTTTGAGAACAGAGACCAGGACACAGCATTCTCAAAGCACCAGCTTCAGTGTAGTCGGGGCATTCACGCTCCAGCTGCCTCTCCTGGCCCTGGCCTGGGGTGCTCAGCCTGGGGTGCTCATCTGTGTGCTTTCCACCCAGAACCGGCTGATGGGGAAGTCAGAGAGCCCAGTGGAGATGGTGGAGAGATCAGACCGATCTGGGAAGAAGCCTGAGGGCTTCCTGGTGTGGGGGCTGATGCTGCTGCTGCTGCTTCTGCTGGGAGCCCTGGTGGCCCTGGGTGTCCTCTTCGGCCGAGGTGAGTAAGGATACCCTGCCCCCTTACCTTCCCCCTACCCCACCCCCGCCCAGGGCTTTACATGCCCCTGAGAGGAGCCAGCCTTATAGAGCAGGGCAGAGGGCTCTGCCAGGGCCCCCTGCCCACTCCCAGGACCATGCTGCTGATTCCAGAGGAGCCACGGAAGGGACACTGACCTGCACGGACCCAGCGACCCCATCCAGAAAGCTCTGTCCTGGCTTGCTGGCGCAGCAGCCGCTGCAGGCTCTGCCTCCGCCCCCTCTGCCTCAGCAGGACTCTAGGATGCTGCAGACCGCAGACAGGTCCCCCGCCCCAGCAGACCAGCCCCCTTCTAGTCAGCAGCACAACCTGGCAGAGTGGCCGCTGCAGTGCCCAGGTGGCCCAGCAGCAGGAGCCCAACCCCTGAGCTAAGGGGTCCCTCCAGCTGTCTCAATCTGGTGCCAGTCAGGATGTCCTGGTGGCTTCTGATAAAGGCTCTTGCTTATTGCAAGTCTGAGGGAAGGGGCTAGCCTGAGGACCCATGAAGGTGGAGGTGTGGCTAGGATTGCCCTTTGGGTAGACCTCAGGTGTCTCAGGAACTGCTTTACGCACACTGACCTCTTCCTAAAGGACTACATGTAGGACAAGGCTGCCCCCTTTTGGATAGGGCACCTGGACACCCAGCATCCCTGCACCCCCCAACCCCTTCATCCCTTTTGAGCCAGGGGCAGGGGGATAAATATACAGGAGGAAGGAAGGCCCATATACTCCACTTCTGCCATGTCCCTAAGTGATGCGCTCACCTTGGTCTGGCTGTAACACCAGGGCACCAGAGCCTGATGTTCCCTCAGGGGACTCCTGATGAGGGACAGCTGGTAAACACAAGTGGGTTCTACCCCACCCAGGGCTGCCTTCAAGGCTCCATATAGAGTGTGGCTTCTGCCCAGTCGCCAATGTGGTCTCTGTCCCCTTGGTTCTCCTGCAAGGGTTGACAGGTGCAGCCAACTTCAAGGACAGGAGTGACAGGGCCAATGTGCCCAGTGGAGCCCAGGGCTCCAGGGACCTTTGTTTGAGGTTTACTAGTCTCAAAACACCTGATTTTGAGGCCTCCAGTGTACAGGCCTAATGACCACAGCCCTGAGGTAGAGGGGGGTCTCCTCTTCTGTTGCCCTGTCTGTCTTCTCCTTGCCTGGTTCTCCCTTCACCCTTCAAGCAGTATGACTTCTGGGACAGCCAGGGTCTCTTTGACTATGCCAGGACCCCACAATCTCTTCCTCCTCCTCCTCCAGGGCTCCCGGGCTGCTGGAATGTCCCCACAGCTAACCTAGGCTTCAGCCCAGGACTTCAGTCAGGACTAGGCAGATGGAAAGTTTTGGATTATCCATTTTAAAGTATTTCCTTGTTTCTGTTTGGAGGATTTTTATTATTATTATTTCTGATTTATGAGCTACTATTTATTCTTTAATTTCTATATCCATATGATCTTATGTTACCTTTTTAAATTTTACTGACTTCTAGGTCAGTTGCACAATTGTCAGAAACTCAGTTGGAAGTGGTTTGGTGACATTTCTGGTGCTTGCCTAAGGTTAGCCTTCTTAGGAATGTTTCTGTTGCTGTGATAAAATACCCTGACAAAAGCAACATAAGAGAGAAAATGTTTGGGGAAGTCAAGGCAGCGTGAGCTTGAAGCCATCAGAAGAGAGCAATGAATGCTATGTTCAACTCATTGTCTCCATTCTCTACAATCCTGGGATGCCTGCCTAGGGAATGGTCCACCCACAGTGGGCAGCTCTTCACACCTCAAGCATGCACAAGAGGCCCTTGTCCCGGGTTATTCTGGAGTCTATGAAGTTGATAATGCTGATAGGACAAGCTTTGGTCAGTTGTTTTACAAGAAAATTGTAAAATAGGCCAGATGCACTTGAGGGCTATGCCTGTCCCTGCCTGCTGAGTGACAGTGTCCTTAGGTGCCTGTGAGTTCAATGAAGGGCCTATAATATTTTCTCCCTTCATTCTCTTGATCTTCCAGATAGTTATTAAAAGGAGTATGTGTGAAATTCTTGCACTAGAGATTTGTCAAATTCCTAAAGTGGTATCAAGGATTAATTTATCTTACCAATTTAAGATTAGTACATGAACATAAATTTAGCCAGAAGGACTGGAGTTGGCTTAGCAGTTAAGAGCACTGGCTATTCTTCCAAAAGACTCAGGCTTAATTCCTAACACTCACGTGGCAGCTCACAACTGTCTTAACTCATATTCTAGGGGATCTGACACCCTCTTCAGGCCTCCACAGGCACCAGGAGAACATATGATACACAGATATACACAAATACAAAACACCCATGTACCTAAAATAAAATAAAATCTCAAAAATAGAGGACTGTACGATATTTTCCTCAATCACTCACCATCAAATAGTCATAAACTATAAACTTAGTCTCATTAATTATGCAATTATGCACTAATAATGACTTATTTATTTTTATTTTATGTGCATGAGTGCTTTGCCCTTGCAGTTTTATATTTAGATATACATACAGAATAAGCCCACTACATGACATTAAACAGTAATCTTTTCTTAGCGATGCTCTTGACCCTGGATTCTGTTCTTTTTTTAAAAAAAAAAAAATCTTTTACATTGGGCTGGAGAGGTGGCTCGGTGATTAAGAGCACTGACTGTTCTTCCAGAAGACAGGAGTACAATTCCTAGCACCCACATAGCGGTTAATAACCATCTGCAACTCTAGTTCCAGGAGATCTGATACTCTCTTCTGGCTTCCACAGGCATCAAGCACACACGTAGTATACAGGCATACATGCAAGCAAATACACACACATACACATAAAAATAAAATAGTAAAAACAAAACAATCTTTTTTACAATTTTCCATCACATTTTATTTATATAGTCGGAGTGGGGGCATGTCATGAAACGCACATGAAGGTCAGAGGACAATTTGTAGGGGTCAGTTTTCCCTTCCACTACGTGGGTCAAGAGGATTGAACGTGAGTACTTCCACTCTTCTCGGGAAGCTTTCCGTGTGCCGCTCAGCTGTTTCCCCTGCAGCCATGATGGCTGGGTTTTGAGTTTGTCTTTACTTCATTTGCTAGGTTAAAATTATGAATAAAGCTTTTTATTCCTGAAAGTCCATTTTATTTTGTATGCATGTGGTGGGGTATGTGTGGCATGGTGTGGAGGTCAGAGACTACCTTTTGGAGTTGATTCTTTCATTCCATATTTACATGGGTTCCAAGAATCAAACTCAGGTCTCCAAGCTCTCTCAACAAGTGTCTTTATTTTTGAGCCATCTGGTTGGCCCTGAAAGTCAAATATTTTCATAAATAGCTCAGTATTGTGCCCTCACTCATATTCATCCAGAATTCTCTTCACAAGCAACCATATTCATTGTTCAGGTTGGCTAACCATGACCCCTGCCTGTTTTTGTAAATAAAGTTTTATTGATATGCTGCCTTGCCCTCTTGTTCATGCCTATACTTTTTTCCTGGCTGAGCAGCAAAGCTGAGGGGGTGGGCCAGAGCCTGCCAGCCTGGACCTGGGCTGTGTCCCTGGCGTCTGCAGCACATCTTTGGGCTCTTCTACCTATTACTCAGGACATCGGTTCCCAGCTCTACAGCCTGGGTGGACAGCTCCTGTTCCAGCTGTGTGACCTCAGACAACTTCCATGATGTCTCTGTGCCTCAATTTCGTGACCTGCAAAACAGAAAGTATAGGAGTGCGTGCATTAGAGTCCGTAAGAGGGTTTGAAGACTCGTACAACAGGAATGCTTAGAAAAACGCCCATTACACTGCTCACCAAATTTCATAACAAGATGTCAGTCTTGCCTCTGACCCCATAAATCTTGTCATTCCACCCTGTATGAAGGTGGATTAGCTTGTGAGACAGCAAGCCCCCACCTCCCAATATAGATGTCTCCGTAGCCTTTGCTTAAGTGCACACTCATCGTTTATATATTTTATGATGTATTTTAAAATGCTTATTATTTGTTTTTAATGATGTATACATGGAAGGATATATGGATATGTGAGTGCAAGTACCCTCAGAGACCAAAAGAAGAGCTGGAGTTGCAAGTGGCTGTGAACAGTCATGTGGATGCTGGGAACTGGACTCAGGTCCTCAGCAAGAGCAGTGAGTGTTTTTAACCACTGAGCCATCTCTCCAGCCCCTAGTCTATTTTTTAAACTGCTGAACTATGAAGAATAATGAGTTACATTTTCTTTCCTTGCTACTGTATGACATCATTCATGACTCTCTTGACAGTTCCTTTTTTCTGTCTAGTAATTGCTATGCAAGGCCTGTCTTTACCATTTCAAAAAAACATCTGTGCCTTTTGTGTGCTTGGTGTGGGGTGCAGAAGGAGAAAAGGGAGAGACAGGATCTCATGTAGCCCAGGCTGGCCTCCAACTTCCTATATAGTCAAGGATGATCCTGAACTTCTGATCTTTCTGTCCCTACCTCACAAGCGCTGGAATTACAGGGATACACCTCCACACCTGTATTCAGCCAGTGCCTTTAAGATAGTTTGCTGGTTATCCAGAGGATGTAACAGGCAACTTGAACATCAGGCTAGTCCTGTAGTGCTTCGGATTTGAAACGCCTGGCATAGGATCCTGTGTTTGAACACTTGGTCCCCACCTGGTGGCACTGTTGGGAAGGTTATGGAACCTGGCTCCACTTCCTGCTCTCTTTCTCTGCTTCCTGTGTGCAGATGAAATGTAATCAACCTGCTTCCTGCCTGGCAGCCAGCCTCACACTCCCACTGCCATGCCATGCAACCCTCTGTGAGTTAAAATGAACCCTTTCTCTCCAAAGTTGCATTTTGTCACGGTACTCTGTCACAGCAACAGGAAAAATAGTGGATAAGGTCACCCTAGATGTAAGCCCATTCAAGATACATCTCTAACTTCTAAAATCATTTCCCTGGCACCTCTTATCTTTTCTTCAAAATCAACTTTAAAAATAAACAGCTTTAACTTTACACAAGTAAGCCACATCCTCAGCCCTCAAGCTGAAGTCAGAGACAATCCTCTCACAGTTTTTGTTAGCTTTCCAGGGCTGTGGCAAAGTACTCAAGATAAATGATTTTAAAGGATAAAGGGTTCATATTTGGATATAGCTTCAGAGGCTTCAGGCCATAATAACTTGGTTCCATTACTTGAAGGCCCCACTCCCGGTATGATTAATAAAACCCCACCCCTAATATGATTGATAAAGCCGCCACCCCCGGGTGTGATTGATAAAGACCCCGCGCCTGGTGTTTCTGGCAGAAGGAGACACACACACTCTGTGGTAGGCCACTCTGCTTTTGCTGCCTAGTCCTGGGCTGAGGGTGGACGCTCCCTGTGAGACCTGCTGGACTTAGCTGCAAACAGGCCCAGGAGTCTGGGCTCAGGGAGTAACACTGTCACAATGCCACCGCCTCTGCTTCTGGT